TCTTTCTTTGATTGGAGGCTTGTATTAGCTCCCCGAATTGCCCCTCAAGTACCACACATCAAGCTGTGATTAGCTTTTACAAAATATGTAGCCAACAAATAGGAAAAGGGAAGTTGGGTTGCAATGGTAAAACTTGATATAAACATTATGTCTTGTAAGGGTCATCATTCATTAGGACGATGACAGAATTTGAGTATCTGTTTTTTTAATATCATTTCATATGTTATTAATGCATTCGTATAAAATATTAAAAAAATTTCATTAAATTAATACATTTGTGACACGTAAAATGATACCTAAATTTTACTATACCAATTTATCATCCTAACGCCAACCCTGATTTAAAAACTCTTTGCAGCATGCATAACAAGATCCATCATACTTACATCACTTGCCAGCCAAAGACAGACAATGGAGGATGAGGCTTCTCTGCGGTACTTCACGAAGGATTGGAGAGGTCCACTTGGCCCAATGTGGGCCTATCTTAGACCCAACTTGAGGGTCATAATGGTTATCCAGCGACACTCATTAGGTAAGTCATCTATTTAAAAATTTTAATTTATTAAATATGAATAGCCACTTGATTAGATAGTATTTATTTTAAAAATAATAAATGACAAGTATGATTTTGTGAATAACTATTTATTTTTTTAAAGCAAATATGATATGATCAAGAGATTATTGATATCTGATTTACTTCATACATTTCGCAATGTCATTGATTTGGATTATCCAGCTAGGCTCGTGATGAGCCCATAGCAAGTCAACTGAATCTCTTTGGTTTAACATGTGTTTGGATCATAAACTTCGATAGTGATTTAAAGTTTTTTAAAAGAATATAAACAAAATGTGAATAAGATACATTTTCTCTTTCTATTCTTAAATTTATATTTAAATTTATGATCAAATATAATTTTAATGAAAGACAATAGAGAAGTCTAATCCCATAGCACACACAAAAAAAATAAAAAAATAAAAAATAGTCTAACCCCATAATAACGTGTACATGTACACAAAAATAGTACGGGTGTATTAATTTAAGACTTCAATTAAGGATTAAGACTTCAATTAAGGAAGAGGGGCAATGATTTCATGTGAAAAAGGTGGTTGGGAGATGGGGCCATCTCAAGACATGATTAAAGACAAGGAGTGGTATACCCAAAAATAAAAGGTTACTTATCTTTAGTTTTTTCCATCACTTTTGTAGACCATAAAGCCATGGAAGAGGTGGGAAGGTTGGGCCTCCACAGTTCACCCTACACCTTTCTTTGCCTTCTATGTTGTTGGCCAGAGTCTATATTAGCTTTTCCTCACCATCTCATCATTCAATCTCCATCATCACAACTCATACACCATCCATCCATGTCATCACTCCATCATTCATCCAACTCTCTCTCTCTCTCTCTCAACTCTCTCCATCATTCATTCACTCTCTCTCTCTCCTCTATCTCTCAACCGACAAGTTCACAGGAGCAACAAAATGCCACACAAAAGCACTCAAATCCACCATTGGATTAGAATCAACCTAATGGAATAAAGTGGCTGAACTTTGTCGTGGGCCTTATCACATACGTACATAGAGCTTTCAAATGTAAAATTTGGTGGTTTGATAGAAAAATTATTAGCTGCAAATAGAATAACATGTGTCTTCCGTCAATTATAAAACATTGCTCTCTATATTAACATTTAAACACTAATATAAAAATTATGAATCTTAATATCTAAACCAACTAAAATGGAGAAGAGCATCACATAATAATATACCCTTTAAGATATGCAATAATTGCTATTAATATGATATTAGAACTCTTATTTTAGATACTTAATTCTTGTTAGAAAATGATATATAAATCCACTTTATAGACATTGATTGATAATTAAAAAAAAGATAGGAGAGAGAGTTGTCTCACATATTCTAGTTGATGCCATATTATTGGGTTTGAAAAGTAAGTTTAATTCTTGTTATTCACCTTATGATTGTTATTAACACGTTATGCATTCTATTTCAACAACATTATAAATTCAGGCTTATTAATTCAGAATTTATCTAGAAAAAATAATCAGTGGCTCAAATTCATTTTATTCATAAACCACACACTTTAACAATTTAATTTCCACCACACAAACACATTCACGATAAATCATGAATTGATAAGGGTGGGTTCAAAACTTTTTTGTTCTACTATATCTATTTTTGTTTATCTTGTTTAGCATAATTTATTTCAGTCCACATATAAAATTGAATATTATTGAGCTTATTTTTTAATATTTTCGATGATCAAACATATATAACAGATAAAAAAAAGTTTCTACACCTTACTTAAAATTATTTCAGATTTAGGATGTAGATCTAATTTTTGTTATTGTGGGATTACTTCATGAATTATTCATCTTGACATTAAATGTTAAATTTTTGAAATTTTTTTTTTTTTTTTTTAGATATATAGACCTTCTGTAAACATATATGTTTGCTTTATTTAATTAGAGCTTATTTTTTAATATTTTCGGTGATCAAACATATATTACAGATAAAAAAAAGTTTATACACCTTACTTAAAATTACTTCAGATTTAGGATGTAGATCTAATTTTTGTTATTGTGGGATTACTTCATGAATTATTCATCTTGACATTAAATGTTAAATTTTTGAATTTTTTTTTTTAAAGATATATAGACCTTCTGTAAACATATATGTTTGCTTTATTTAATTAAATTATTTTTTTAAAAATAGTGATCTAACATTTATACATATGTGTGTTTCCATTATTTAATGAAATAACCTTTTTTAACTTTTCAAGAAACTTTTGTTTTTTTAACGTTATGCTAGTTGCAAGAAGAAGATAAAAAAAACACAGAAAAAAGAGCAGAGGAGGCGTGTTTGGAAACGATTGGATTGTTTTGGAGTGTGTTTGATATATTCAACAATTGGGGTTTCATCACGGGGGCGGGTGGAATAGATCTCAGCTCAATTCACGAAAAAACAGTGAGCATTGTCTGACCATCTTTAAGTACAATATTTATGCTATTTTTCTTTCAATCTTTGTTTGATTCCCGTGTTTCCCCATTATTAATATTGTGAACTCTGTATATATATATGTATTAAAATAATATGCAAAGACTCTTTGAATTTGAGTAAAATAACAGTCACCCAAGAATGTACCATGCCTTAAATCATGGAAAATGTGAGAGTTAATACTGTTTTCGATTGAGGGATTTGAGAAGGAATTTAGAAAGGAAAATGAAAAAGGTAGGTGAAATGTGAATAAAACATACTTATATTTCACCTAATTTTACACACATTTTCTTTTTTCTTTTTCCTTTCTAAATCCCTTCCTAAATTTCTTAACCAAACACAGTTTAAGAGTGCATGCACCATTGTATTTTAATGGAATATAAACCAATATATATATACATAATTTTTTTTTTTGTAAAGAATCATATCATTGAAAGCCTATTAAGATAGTTTTAAGGATAAATTTTATTGACATTTCTACATTTTTGTATAACATTTTAATCTCTCTATCATCATTTTTATTCATTGAATTATCAATAATCTCTCATATCGAAATGGATTGATAAATTCAGCATAATACCCCCACTCTATCCACATATTCACGACCCATTTCTTCCACAATTCTCTTCTACTAGCCACCCTCATGACTCCGCCACTTATCGCCCCTATTTTCCAACCCTCCACCACCCCAGAAGAGAAAAAAGAGCAAATGGTAAGACACGACACCATCGACTACTACTACCTCTGCAACCTCCTCTACCATCGCAGCCCTCATTTTTCACCCACCTCTACCCCTAGCCATTTTGAATATTATTTAAATATATATATATACATATATACATGTTAATGCATATATTAGTTTTAGATATATTATATTTAGATTTATCTTTATCTCCTTGTATCTCTATCTCTCTCTATCTCTATCTCCTTTTATACTTATCTAAATTTGTGTTCAGCCTATAAATACAGGCTCTCTTATTGTATTCAATTCATTCAATATACACAGATATACAGTTTTCCTTTTCTTTCAACTATTCTAACATGATATCAGATACACTTTATTATCTCTGTTCCAGCACTGCTTCATTGCTATTTTCACCCAAATTTTTTTTTTCCTCACCACTAAACTGATTGAAATCTCCTCATGATTCCAACGGCACCGACCATTCATTCAACATACACAGATATATAGTTTTCTTTTTTTTTCAACCATTCTAACAATACACATTTGGGTATACAATATTTTTCTTTAACATGCACCCTAACCACCATAAAAATAAAATACAATAGAAAGAATAAAAGCCCATATCATCTACTCGGGATTTACTTCATTTGATGAAAGTGTCAGTTGTCCTTCATTTCAATAATGTATATAATTTTATGCAACTTGTATCAAGGGACAAATTCAACACGAAAATGAAAAACTGTGGATTGAACTAGAAGAGTACTAAAGCTTTAAAATGCAAATTAAAGATCCTACAGTCCTTTAAAAGGAATAATAATAATAATAATAGGACATAAAAATATTTAGTACACATTAATATGTAATAATTAGACGTTGTTTTTAAAGACATAAAAATCCTTTTATGATGAAAGGGATAGAACAGTAGTACTATTTCCATTTCCTCAAGTTAACATTATCATTAATTTTGCCTTCCTTCAAAGGTTTCCAAAACATAAGCTCATGATGCAAATGGAGACATCAACATACAAGGACCCTGTATTTGTTGTAAAACCTTCAATTTATTCATACTAAAATTACATTAAAATAGAGGATACAAAAACATGATCTTCAAAATATAAAAAAAAAAAAATTAAGGACAAATTATACCTGTCATTCTAATAATCTGTCTCTTGTTTCAATTTCATCCTCATAGTTTCAATTATATTAATTTTGCCCCTTTTTTTCACTGTATTGATATAGTTCAATTGATAACATCTGTTTAAATTTTAGACAAAAATCAAAGACAAAATAGACAATTTCAAATTAAAAGTCAAAACCTCTCAATCTATCTGATCAATTTTACCTATTGGTTTCAGTATAATTTCTAAAGGAACGTCATCAATTAGACTAAATTCACCCAACATAAAAAATTTAACGTAAAATTGATACAATTAGAATTACAAAGAATAAATTGACATAAAAGACAAACCACAGAATTACATGTGCAATTTGTCCAAAATTAAAACATTCTCCCACCAAATCAAAAATATTTTCACAAGTCAAAAAAAAAAAGTCATAAAAGGGAAAGAAGTAGTTGTTGGGTAAGCAATAATGGTGAAGAAGAAGAAGAAAAACATGCCTAGTGAGCCATGGCGACAGGAGGGGCGAACCCAATGGTTCTCTGGTTAGGCATGGCTAGCATAGCAGTATGGTCCAAGAAATCCTTAAGCTCAACCACAGTCTCCAAAATCTTTTTCAAATCATCCGCACATGAAAACCCCAAACTCCCTACTCTTCTAACCCCATAAACATAAAAAGTGATGCACCCTTTTCGAAACTTAAACCGAGCCATCTCGCACCCACTCAGCCCCCTAATCAGCTTCTTGTTCACTTCTCCGAGGGGAATCTCAGGCGGCCAAACCCTATCCACAGCCGCTTTCATCTTCTCCGACTCGAAAACGAAGAGCAGCACTTTGGATTTCTTTGTTCCGAGGCCTAATGTGAGGGTGTGCCAGGCGTGGTGGGCTAGGATTGTGAAGTTTGTGGGGAGGAAAGCGGTGGTGGATGGGAATGGGGGTTTTGTGATTGTGGTGGTGGTGTGGTGGTTGGGGGTGGTGGTAGAGCAAATGGTAAGACACGACACCATCGACTAGTACTACCTCTGCAACCTCCTCTACCATCGTAGCCCTCATTTTTCACCCACCTCTACCCCTAGTCATTTTGAATATTATTTAAATATATATATATGTACATGTTAATGTATATATTAGTTTTAGTTATATTATATTTAGATTTATCTTTATCTCCTTGTATCTCTATCTCTCTCTATCTCTATCTCCTTTTATACTTATCTAAATTTGTGTTCAGCCTATAAATACAGGCTCTCTTATTGTATTCAATTCATTCAATATACACAGATATACAGTTTTCCTTTTCTTTCAACTATTCTAACATGATATCAGATACACTTTATTATCTCTGTTCCAGCACTGCTTCATTGCTATTTTCACCCAAATTTTTTTTTTCCTCACCACTAAACTGATTGAAATCTCCTCATGATTCCAACGGCACCGACCATTCATTCAACATACACAGATATATAGTTTTCTTTTTTTTTCAACCATTCTAACAATACACATTTGGGTATACAATATTTTTCTTTAACATGCACCCTAACCACCATAAAAATAAAATACAATAGAAAGAATAAAAGCCCATATCATCTACTCGGGATTTACTTCATTTGATGAAAGTGTCAGTTGTCCTTCATTTCAATAATGTATATAATTTTATGCAACTTGTATCAAGGGACAAATTCAACACGAAAATGAAAAACTGTGGATTGAACTAGAAGAGTACTAAAGCTTTAAAATGCAAATTAAAGATCCTACAGTCCTTTAAAAGGAATAATAATAATAATAATATTTACGTACTATGAATTTATATATCATGCAATAATTTTTCAAACATTTCTATACTGACAAAAAAATTATACTGAAAAACTCTACTAAAATAAGGTATTTTTGCAATTAAATCCATCTTGATGCTTACTTTGTTGTGAAGTGACAGGCTATTTTTTTTTTTTTTTTTTTTTTTGAAGTGATGACATTTGTAAGGTTGATCACTTCAAATGTCATAATTTAATTCTATAGGAATTATAGATATAAAAAAAAAATGTGTTATAACCAAATACCACTAGGTATAATTAAAGAATTTTTGGATCATAATCAAAATAATGCCATAATTAATATCATAATAATTCATAACTAACATCATAATATGTATAATTAAGTCAAAACTAAATCGTAACTAACACCACAATAAATTATAACTAAAAACTTCAAAAGACATAACTAGGGGCATATATAACTTATGGGAGAGGTTTCTCTCTAGTTGAATATTGCAATTGGGGGCTCTTGTTGAGCTTTCGTGAGTCTACTATGGAGTCCGCATCTATAACATGAACAACTCGTCGAGTATTTTATCCCTTCAAAAAATCACGTTACTTGGATATCGATAGTTACTTAATCAGAACACATTTAGATAAATAATTTAGGGTGAATTACACTAACAGTCCCTATAGTTTGGAGCATGTGCCACTTTGGTCCTTGACTTTTTAATTATGACACATTTGACCCTAAATTTTGAAGCTTGCTTTGAATAAGGACAATTAAAGATACCATTGGATTTTTCAAGGGCAAAATAGTCAATTTAATAAAATATAAACTAATTTGATAAAAATAAATGTCAAAAAAATATTTTTGAATTTGTAAAAATTATTTCTACATACTAAAGATAATATTATATAAATTTGATAAATCTTTTAGACATTCATTTATTTTTTTTACCAAATTAATTTTTATTATGTATTTAGATCATGATCATGTAAAATTAATTTTTATCAATTTGGTGGGTAGAAATAATTTTTAAAAATTTAAAAATATTTTTTTGATATTTATTTTTGTCAAATTAGTTCTTATTTTATCAAATTGATGATTTTGCCTTTGAAATTAAATAATAATATATTCAATTGTCCTTATTTGGAACAAGAATCAAAATTTAGGATCAAATATATTATAACTGAAAAGTCGAGGACAAAAGTTATACGAGTTCCAAAGTATAGTGACTGTTAGTGTAATTTGCCTAATAATTTATTTTAAAAATTATACTTACCATTGACACAAATGTGATTGGATCAAGTGGCTATCGATATCCAATTTACTTAATTTTTTGCAAGAATAAAGTATTCGACGAGCCCTAAATATTGAACTATTCAGATCATCGATGTGGGTTCCACAATGGCCTCATAGAGGTCTAATATCACCTTTCAGTTTAATTTGAACCGGAAAGAAGCCTTACTCATAACCTTTTTTAAATTTTTTTTTTCTATCAACAATGGCATTAATATGTTAACATAGTTAGATAGCATTACCCATAACTGTGTATATGCATATCTATATAATAAAACAGAACTGATTTTTAAAATGTATCAAGATGTATCAGACATACATTTTGATTCAATGGCTGAGATGATTCCTATATACTATCTAACGGTCGAGATCATTTTTATTCCAGCCCAAACTCTCTCTCTCTCTCTCTCTCCCACGTCTGCCCAAACACCTTCTCTTCAACTCCCTCTCTACACGTTCGGTCTTCAACTCCCTCTATGGTGGATCTCTCTCTTACGGTCGGAATTCTTTTTTTTTTCTGAAACTAGCGACCAGAGGTAGCAAATCAGAGAAACTAAAAATAATCTTCCAATAATTTGATTCAAACAAAGATGGTGGTCTCAACAGGGCTCACCACCACCGGCGCTGCTCATCATCACCTTCGCTATTAATCGACACCCACCCTCTCTCGGCTCCCATCCTTCCAACATCAGAGTTATTTTACATTTCTTTAGTTCTTTGAGGCTTCAGTTTTAGGGCTAATTTTTTAATCAATCATCCTCCATAATTAACTGGTTTGTCTATATAGTTGTGAAGATCATTATTGAGTGTACGAACTAGTCTCACTACCACCGCCGCTGCTCATCATTACCGTCGTCATTGATCGACACCCACCCTCCTAACATCAGAGGTATTTTTTGTCAACCGTCGAGTTTGGTATCAAGTTCGCTCACGTTTGTATGTGTATGATTTTTTTTGTTTAATTTCATGATTTTGCTGTGAAACCACATCATCGTTGTGCCGTTGTTCAAAGGTAATTTGATTTCTCTTTCTCTCTTCTTCTCTCTTTGAGTAATTGAGTAATTATGTTCGAGTTTGGTATCAAGTTTGTTGATTTTCTTTGTTCAATTCCATAATTTTGCTGTGATTTTTTTTGTTCTAGCTACAACCACATCATCGTTGTACCACTGTTCAAAGGTAATTTGATTTCTCTTTCTCTCCTTTTCTCCCTTTCTCCCTTTGAGTAATTTAGTTCACATGTTCGAATTTGGTATCAAGTTCGCTAATTTTCTTTGTTCAATTTCATGATTTTGTTGTTTGATGTGTTGGTATAGGGTTCGCTGACTTCTTTTTATTTTTATTTTCAAGTACATTATGAGAAGCAGAGTGGCAATAGGAGTGAAGAAAAGTGTTGATATGCTGGCTTATACTGCCATGGCCATAACATGTTTGATAGTTTGCCTATGAGAGACCTACCATAATGATCGAACATTGTTCTGCTCTAAGTTGCTGTTTCTCGGTTGTTAAAATAGCACGCACACTTGGTTGTTTGATTTAGATTTTACCCCTCCATAATTCACAAAGGAATGTTAATTTGAGTTGATAAAAATCTGTAATTAACTTTGTAATCCTGAGCAAATTGTAATTAACTTTGTAATCTTAAACGCACCAGCAAAAAATAATGTTTAGAGTCATTGCTTAAAAGCCAATCCAAAAAATTCAAAACAAGCTGAAGAAGGAGGGAAAAAGAAACAAACAGAAACTGTGCACTTTTCGAGATTACCAGAAAAAGGTTTTGCAAAAAGCGCCAATATACATCCAATATTCTTTATAGTATCCAACAACCAGAAAAAAGAAAAAACAAATAAAGAGAAGTGGAAGAGATATTAGCAAGTCCATATACTTTTTTAGAACATATTCCTAGATTCCAAATCCGAACACCTCAATATCAACTCTAGTGTAGTCTTTGAGCTAAGCAATTCTTCAGCATAAGCAGTGAGTGCACCCAATAAATACTTAGTGTCGTTTGATCCTCCAGTATTTGTCAATATTCAATAGGTTGGAAGCAAGGTAAAACAAAGTTTTCCTTTGGGGCTAGACTCTCTTGCATTTACTTGAGGAATTTTGTTGTTCTCTACTTTTGACATCCTTCCTTTAGGCATACTTTTATTATTTATGTTAAAACCCAAACTTCAATTGTTCTTTCAAGTTTAATGCCCTACAACTTAGTAAGATAATATTACCTGTCTACTATGTGTAACTTATTACTCTGTTAAGTTTGCACTCATAAGTGAGAAAAAAATCATGCTATTCTTTATACGTGTTGGTCAATCATGAAGCATTGCAATTAAACATTTAATCTGCTTTACATTGGGGAGAATATGTTTTTTAATATGGATGTTGTAACAACCCTCATACTGTTTACTGATTTAGGACTGATTGATTACCGATAACCATTGATTACCGTTAAATTGAATTGATTATGACTGATAATTGGACTGGTAAAAGTACTGAACTGACTGACTGTAATTGGAAACCGAATTGATTGAGTATATGCTAGTTAAATTGCATTCTATCTGTTTGACTGTATGAATATCTGTTCATGCTTATATGTTTAAACTGCTAATTACTCATGAGTGGGAAAAAAATCATGCTATTCTTTATACGTGTTGGTCAATCAGGAAGCATTGCAATAAAACATTTAATCTGCTTTACATTGGAGAGAATATGTTTCTTAATATGGATGTTGAATTGTTTTTTGGAATTTGTTGCTCTTCATCATTTGTCTAATGCTAGCTATTCCATCAATGATGTCTTCCTTGTTTTGTATCTTCAGGTAATTAACAGTTTTAACTATGTTTTAACTCTTGCATTTACTTGAGGAATTTTGTTGTTCTCTACTTTTGGCATCCTTCTTTTTGCAAATATTATGTTCAAACCCAAACTTCAACTTAGTAGGATTATATTACCTGTCTAC